ATTATCTGACACCTGTCGTCAAGTGATAACTTAAACATTTTTTAAAAATAAAAATGTCTACGTCTCATTAAAACAGAAACTGTTAATTTGATGAATTGTATACAAAATTAAACCAAAATTACTTAGAAGTATATTTTTCTCACTTTAAACTTAGTTCACATCACATTCACAGGTGCTTGTGATTAGGGGTGTGTGTCAAATAATTTTCCGGGGGGGTTGTAGAGTGAGGTTCTCCTTTTCCTTCTCCACCTTGGTGACTAGCTTGCATAATGGAAAGCATGCCCTTGTTCCAAAGTCACCCCTTCGCCTATATATATATATATATATATATTCAGATTATTGAAGTTCTAATCATAAAATCAAGAAACTCTTTAATTTGGACATCAAGATTTTTTAACATATTTTACAATTAATAGATACTGTTGTAACCAAGAGAAGGTTACTGAATAGAATAATCACACGAAAGTTGGTAATGAATGATAATAATTAGGACAAGAACAATGCATATAAGATTCGCCAGCAGCATGTAGAATAAGTAGTCAACTGCTAGAAGTGAGTCAAGTGAATTCCACAATGAATCTCCAACTGCAGACAGTATCTACCAACTGCCCCATGCACTCAGATGTGGCACAAAGCCGAATTTAATGTGGGATTCCTGAGCCTGTAGGCTCAGCTAAAAAATCCCCATAGACCCCATATATAATGGGGTTGGGTAGGTGTTTTCCGAGATGAGACTCTGCCCTTCAACATAGCCCCGTCTGGGGATGCTCTCTGCCCGAAGGCAGAGAGCTTAACCAGCCCAGCTGAAGACAAATCTCCAACTGCAGAGCAACACATACAGTATTCACTACTGTATTTATGGGAATGAGGGCATACCCATTATCGTCTGTAGGTATGCTACAACAGATACATTCATCACAGAAGAATTTCTACTTAAATATCACCTAGAGTGTAATATCAGTATAAGACAAAAATGCTATCATGTAAAAAACATTCATAATTATTTGTTTTCTGATCTTGATAATGACCAGAAGTATGGTCAAAAAGACTACATTTAAGACATGCATGAATTGTCTGAATTTCTGGGAGGAGTAGTTATTATTTACACTATTTATATTTGGACAATTGTCCTCATCTTTGTTGTTGTTAAAACAATGTTTTGACAGTTTTGCTTCCAGTTTTCCTCGGGTGTATATTGATTGGGGTAACCTACAGGGAATTCTGAAGTGAAACCCTTTATTTAATCTATGGGGGATAGCGCAATGAGGACAGTCTGCCTCTGTAGATTTAAAGAAAGGTTCAGTTCAGAATTCCCTGTAGGTTACCCCCATTCAATATACACCTGAGGAAGGCAGGAGGGCATAATGGCTGAAGCGAGATAACAAAATCTGGACCACAGTCCAAATATAAACAGTGTAAATAATGATAGTTTGTTTTAAGAGTAATAAGTTTTTTTTCCATTTTGTCATTCATTTGCCCATTCTACATACAATTGTATGTATAAAAAAAAATATTTTAAAACAAAAAAAAAAAAAAAAAAAAACACTTATCTATAGATTTTAAATAAACTTCCACCTAAATACTATGAGGGAGTGCTGGAAAGTTTTGGGGGATGACTAAAGAAAAGAAAAAAAAACAAAAAAAAAAACACTTAAATTTCATGTTTGATCATTTGGTCAGATTTTGGGAAGTGTGTCAGGCAGAGAACTTTTCAGTAAGCCATATATCGATCTAGTATGGAGTGCTATTCATATTTATGTATATAGTTCAGGCAATTGAACTCCTTTTTATACTAGACATTGTAAACATTTTGTTCAGTTGATCCATTCTTTATCCATTGCCAGAAATGTATTCTATGAAAACAAAAAAAAAAAAAAAAAAAAGGTGGTCATTCATATACCAACTGGACCAATCCATTTAGCAGTTGTAAGGTACACAGCACTACTACCAAAGTACCCAGGTGATAACAAGACTAAGCATGCAAATAGATTTAATTGTCTATGTTTGGAATCAGAATCCATATAAAATCCATTTAAATCAAAGATGTAGAATTTAATTTCAGAAATGTCAGAAGAGAGTGGTAATTATTCCTGGAGGATATGATGTTGAATCTGTCTAACTGTAGAATACTAATATTTTTGTAATATAAAACTATAATTAGGAAATGGTTTATATCTACTATTTTATATTTAATTTTTCTTTAAAAATACCAAGTCTCCCAGAGGTAAATAAATACTTGTTATATATAATGTTGTATCAAATTTAATGGTCTTTACACAACCATCCATGCCTTCCTCCTCAATGTCTTTGAGAGTGGAGCAGCAGAGTTATAGAGATACCTTGCAGGAAATTAAGTTTATAAAATACTAGTATAAACAACTAGTTTATTTTTGCTGTTAAATTTTTAAAACATTTATATAGGGTTATTTTGAAAACTTAATAAAAAAAAGCTAACAAAAAAAAAAAAACACATTCTACACATTACTAGATAAGGACAATTGTACTTAACATTAGGAAGAGAGAGAATTGAAATTTATTGGAAAATTTGATATTCAGAGCACAGATTAGAGGCAAGAACGGCAGGAAAACAATGCATACATAACTTACATAGTGGGCTTGAGTAAGTGGTTGGCAGATCAGGGTTTAGGAGAGACTAAAAAGATAAAATTTACTAAGAGCTACAATGGACAGGAAATTGTGGAGAGCTATGATCACCAATGTCCTGAAGGGACACGGCAGATAGAAGAATAATATATGAGTGTACATACTATTTATGTGCATCTTTTTATAACTGTGTCAATTCATAGTGAAAAGATAAATTTTGAAATAATAATAGATTGGCTTTGAATCAGAGTATTTGTACACTCTGCCATAGCATCAAATTTTTTAACTTCTAAGTTCAGAATGTAGTTGCTGTGATCAAGGTATAGTATGTTCTTACTCAGTTGTGAAACAGCACTTATATATATATATGCACATACACACACACCATATATATACTTGTACATTCTGCAACGTTTGAAGACCTAATTTTAAAGCTAATTTGACTATAGTAAATGAATATATAGTTTGGTCAACATTGTAGCTAGGGCCAGTAGTAAATATACTATAAGTTTTTATCTCAAGTATGATGCGACCCCCTTAAAATTATCTTCAAAAGTCGCAGGATATGCAAGTATATATATATATATATATATATATATTTATTTATTTATTTATTTATTATGGCTGTCACCTTGTTATTGAGTATGAACATCACAAAATGTCATTGTAAATTGATCGTTTTTTTGCAGTTTATCAACTCTTTGTGGGTTATTTAAAACCAGAAACATTTTGGATTGTTAGAATAAGTCTTATTTTTTTTTTTTTAACAAGTGAATATTAATAATTATTATGAAAATAACAATGATTTTTGTAGATACCAATCCTACTATTAACCCATATCTGGTGGGGTGAAGAGATGGATCTATACCCTTCTCAAGGGTATTTGCACATAAACGAATATAATGAACTCAATTGGAATTTGAACTCTGCTCTCTGATTTTACACCACTTGCACACCCATTTATTGTAGTCATCACACAAAAAAAAAAAAAACAAAAACAAAAAAAACAGTCATCTTATGGTTACTGAAATGAAGACATTGCACTGGGTGAATCCCATTCTCTAGTCAAGAACAGCATGTACCCAAAAAGAAGAAACAGTCAACATTATTGGATGCTGTCTAGCTGCAGGTGTTTTCCTTCTCCTTGTTGGATATTTTAATGAAGTCTAATGAGTCCAACATTTCCAGTGGGCTTACTGTGCACTTGGACACCAACCCAGGTATTTCTACCCCCACCCCCATTGCCTTTCATATACATGTGGCTAGAAAAAATCTTTTTAAAAGTTCATGATTTTTTTTTTTGTTTTGTTTGAATTTCTGGGATAAATTCATATTTAAACTAATGTCCTCATCTTTGTTGTTATCACAATGTTTCAGCTATTGTGCCCCCTGGCCTTCTTCAGGTATCTATCGATCTGAGTAACATTCAGGGAATTTTAAACTGAACTCTTTATTTAATCCACTAGACTAGTTATTCTATTGTTCAATCCCTGGGCTGGTAGTACAGAGTTAGGTTCAAGACAAGCAATAATTAAATAATAACAAAGCAAAATATCCTTAGAGATGTACAGCAGAATGTGAAAAAAATCTATCTCTGTAGATTAACTAAATGCTTCAGTTCAAAATTTCATGAAAGTTACCTGAATCGACCGAAAAATACAATGGGAAAAATGTCATAATAATAAAGATAAGGTCATTAGTCTGAATATAAATAGTTTATATTACATTTTATTAAAAAAAATGTAAGAAAAAAACTTTAGATATAAATAAAAATAATATAAGAAGTCTTATAACAAAATGAAAAATTGACTTACCATCATTTAGAGTTTACATTTTAAGTCACTGTAAACAAAAACTTTAAATCTAAATTGTGTAACTGAAACCATTCTTGACAGAGAAGCAACAATAAACCTAAAATCTATTCCTATTTATCTGATGCCAAAGTTTAACAAATTATTTTGAATTGTGGGCACAGACAAGAAAAATTATGTTATGCTTCTTGTATACAGAATAAAAACACGAATGTCTATTTTAAAACTTAACTCCACAAATTATAGTAACCACTTAAAAGTAGCTGATGAGAAAAAAAAACAAGAAATTTCTTCCTTACTCTGACTAGAAATTGTATCATGGTTCAAGACAACCTATAAAGACAGTGAAAACAATGATTTTCCTGGAGTGACTGAAAAGATATGATGTCACACTAATATATCCTGGTACAAAGTGCTTAACAGTTCAATCAATAATTTATCAATAAGCACAAGAGTATAGTTGCTTGCAGTTAGTATTGTGTTGCATGTATGATTCTTAGGATTTATTTTAGTCCTTAAAAAAAAACAAAAAAAAAAAAAAGACAAAAAAACTTGAGCTTAAAAAGGAAATTTTCTGTTTCTTACCTTCGATTTGAAGAGATGTTATCTGTCGCCATCTGCATAAGGCTTTGTTTTGTGTCCAACACACTACTGCTTTTCACATATTGGGACTTACTTTCCTCAAGAAGTTCCACGGCACTCCGGCGATTGCTGGGGGTTGCTGCAGGAAAGAAGAATACATGGAAGCCACAGTTAATACAAGACATGCGTTCAGAGAAGTGAGGGTTGGTCGCAATCATACACAGGATGAAATGAGATAAAAAAAAAAAAACAAAGCAAAAAAAATAACAGAAGTTGATGATGCTGTTATTATGGTAGGTATTAGTCGTCATGTACTTTTAGAACTCCGTATAGAATTAGGATGTTCTTGTGATATCTGGGATGGGGAAGGGTTATTTTAAAGATTGTGGCATTTAAACAGTGGGGTGAGAATATTCATTGTTTTTAAGGAGATTGTAGATATGCAGTTTTTCCAAGCTAACTCCTGTGTGTAATAAGTAGTTGTTTGGGAAAGGATGTAAAAGAAAGAAGCAGACAAGCTGGCTTCTCTTGGTTTTAAGAATAGAGAAGTAAAGCGGATGTGGAACTGAGCATGGGTTTACACATTAGTCAGCTGTGTCAATTCAATTCAGTTCCGTGTGGATGTAAATATCAATCTGTGGACATTACAAATTTACAATGATGAATGCAAATATATTAAAATAAATGTAAATCACCGATTGATTAGGAGTGGTTTTCATTTGTGTTGTAGCTATGTTACATGAATAGGTAACTGAGTGTAGGTGTGTGTGTGTGTGTGTGTGTGTGTGTATATATATATATATATATATATATATATATAAAAAAAGGGGTAGTGGTGAAAAGACTTTGGCCCAACCTACTTTTCAAAAGCTGACCAAGGGCTTACTTTTTAGTTGTGTCAAGAACTTATCACCTGTGTGTGTGTGTGTGTGTGTGTATATATATATATATATAGTAAGCTGTTGAAAGAAATTTGAGAGATAAAAAAAACAACAATAATAATAATGATGATGATAAAAATTTATTGTATATCAGGAGGTCTTTAGACTAAATAGAAGCATGAGAAAAGATTTTAAAAATCTGAATTTTTAGACAAGCCTGTGTCCTTTCTCAATGGGAAATAAAATGAAGTTGGATTTGGGGGGGGGGTTATCAATGTGTTATGTCACTGACGAAATCTAGTAGTTTTGGGGTAGTTGTTTGCCACAATTAGGGTTGTCAAGGATTTGTAGATGGCTTTTTGTGTACCTAGAATGTGCAATTTTATTTCAAAAATGTATATTAACTAGGACATTTTGTGTTTTTGTTGGCATTTAAATGAAGATGCTAAAAGGATGTTTTTAATGATCTAACATTACCAATATGATATTTTGCAGGTCAAATTGTCATAAAATTTTCGAAATTTAAAAAAAAAACAAAAAAAAAAAAAACAATATGTAAACATTTATAGGACTTAAAATTAAGTACACTTGTATGCCACTGAAACCTTTGTTATATATATATATATATATATATATATATATATATATATATATATATATATATATATATATATATATTATAATTATTATTTTTTTTTTTTTTTTTAAAGGATTCCATCACAACACAGAAATTACTATGTTTTGAAACTTGACTCAAGTCCTAAAGTTTAATTTCAATATTAAACTTTAAAATTTAAGTTTAATATTGAAATTAAACTTTAGGACTTGAGTCAAGTTTCAAAACATAGTAATTTCTGTGTTACGATGGAATCATATTTAAAAAAAAAAATGAAAAAAATTAAGCTCTACTTCTGTATTGAGCACTATTTTTTAGTAAAAACAAATAATAAAGAACTTTGGATCATTAATCTAACTGTTTGTTCCTATTACATCAATACACACACATAATAAATATGTAAAAAAAACTGTCTAAGTACTTCACTCATGTTGATAGTTCAATTCTTACTGAGTATCCCATTACAGTGGCCTTGTGCCAGATTAATTACTGTGTATTTTGGAGGTTGTTATTACAATAATAAGTAAGATTCTCACTGGGTTCCCCCACACAGCAGGGGTTCGTGCTATCATAACTTAAGCATGGTGCATATTTTATAGAATCTAAAAATCAAAATAGGTGTGAGTAAAAGCAGCATATAAGCAGCAGTTGTTCATTAATACAAGTTTCATTAAAAACAGCAGACAAATTTCTTAATTAACTTTTCTTGTTTACATACAAGAGAACACATTTCTGGATTCAATACAATCTAAATAATAATAATAATAATAATCATGATGATGTGTGTGTATGTGCATCTATATAATGTTTTATTGCTATATAAGAATCATTGTACCTATATTGTTTGTTTGTCCTATATCTTTGCTTATGCATAATGAAGTGGTAGGAGGAAAAGGGGAATTGATGCTTGGCAGGTGGTGGGGGAGGGAGGAGAACTCAAGGTTGACTGACACAGAGAAGAGCAGATGATGACTCACTGCTGTTATCACTGATCGACCCTTCTGCTGCTGATTATCAAGAGTAGTAGTAGGAGTAGAGGAAAGAGAAGAAAAATAAAAAGGGGGAGACCCCAGGATTTATGGCGGGAGTTTTGTCCTCTTCATTTCCTAGTTTTCCTTTTTATAAAAAAAATAAAAGAAAAAGTAGATTTGCATTCTTTATTGAAGAGCAAAAAAAAAAAAAAAAAAAAAGAGTTTCTTTTTTTTGTCTTTTTTTGACATGTAAACATATGCAAAAGTCATGTAGCATTAATAAAGAAATAAAAGAAAAGGAGTTATTCTTTACAGTAAACATAAATGCATTATAAAAAACATGAAAAATGATTTTCATCAAAAAGGGATAAACATACAACACAAGTTGTTTTGCATCAATGTCTTTAGGAGAGAGATATTCCTATTATACAAGCATATATAAAAAGCAAAACTGGGATCAAACTGAACACAAAAAAAAAATATTGCCAAATCTAAATCCCCAGATTGAATCTTTAATCTTAGCACTAGTTTCCCACACAACATATTTATTAAATGAATATTCTGCTTTCTTTATAATTATATACAGATATATAAAATGTTTATAAACACTTAATTTAAATTTAATCATTTTATTCTTCACTTTAATTCTGCTTTCTTTATAATTATATACAGATATATAAAATGTTTATAAACACTTAATTTAAATTTAATCATTTTATTCTTCACTTTAATAAAGGATATTTTTCAACAAATGTCAGCCAAAAAGAGAATATAGTTTTAAAACTGCAACACTTGCCTTAGATAACTTTGATATTATCAACACAGACTAACAGAAACCAGACATTATAGGTCAGGCAATGAAACATATCTTCCTTTATCTCAACATACACAAAAATTCTAATTCTAACTAATTTTTTTATATTGCAGAATATATAGCATTTCATGGTTTGAAATCCAAGTTTTACTTCCAGATAGTCATAATAAATGATTTCACAAATGAAAGATAAAGTCTCTGATCTCTCTGCTAACAATCCTATAAGTTAACCATTGAATTATATCTGCTAATGTTTTGTTTATTGATTTGGTTCCAGTATTTAATAGTCACAAGTTGAAGAAAACTTTTCAGTATGGTTTAGTAATTATTATAATAGTAAGAGATCATAAGTCCAAGATTTATTATCAACATCAGTCCTATGACTAGGTATGATCCTAGGGTCTCTATGCAGCTGCTGAGTACCCAACCAGTTCCTTTCAAATATCTTGAATGAAAGCTAGAGAAGTATGCATTCATGTGTAGTGTGTCCTAGGCAAGTAAACCTGATGGTGCCTACTCTTCTCCAGGTTAAACAGCAGCTGATGTCCACCAACTTGAAGGCTTTTGGCTTCAGTCTAGAAAACTCTCCACAGCAATGCCATGTCATTACTGCAGTATCTGCATAAATAGGTATGGGGACCCAGTTTAATGCATTGTAATAGATGGCCATTGATCCTAAAAGGAACTCTTGTCTGCTCTTTGACAATCTTTAATCCAGCTGGTTGTCAAAGTCACCCCTTCTCACCAGAAAAGCCTGGTTTTGGAGTTGGGGGATGGTTTAGTTGCTAATGACATGACCATGTGGTAGATAGTTCTGGATTAGTTATTAAAAAATTATTTAATTACAAAAACACTTTTTAAAGAATGAAGCCCTTAAATCTGGAGCAGGCAATAAAAACAATAATAATAATATTTTTTATTTTCTTTTAAAGTTTGACGGATGAGGTAACTAAGACAACTTAAAAGTAACATCTAGATACTTGAGAACAATTTCAAAACAGAGACTGTCCGAGTAGACTGATTTACCCAATCTGATAGTATTTCTAACTCGGCTCTACTTGCAAGGTTTTGTGCTGTTTTTATCAAAACCAGTCACCATATGGTGCACATCTGGCAGTCATATATGCGCCTCAGACTAGGTGTCATGATGGGTATATTGGGTTTTGTATATTTGTACCCAAGTATCATTTTGTTGGTATGCTGTTGTCTCACTCACTAATAATTAAGAAACTATTTGTTTGGATTTCTGTCCCTATTTTCTTTATATTATTATGACCAGTTACTTGATATTGTTCTTAAATGTTGTGAAATATATAAGGGTTGATGAATTCATAGCATGATACTAACTTATTAGTTGAATTTTCATCTGAAAGTTTCATTGTATAATGTTTTGTCTATAGGATTAATATTCACCATTGAATTAAGTGCATTGACAATGAAGTATTTTTTGTGCAAAAGAAATGCTTTTTCTATCACTGGGCTGCTGTCTTATACCCATGCTTTTTTTTTTTTCAAACTGATTAAACAAAATTGGCTGATTTTAAATTTCCCTGCAAAATCCAAATCCAGCACCTTCTCATTCCTGTTGGAGGAACCCCTCCCTAATTGACCATGTCTTAAGGGGTCTAGCTATACTCACCATGCTTGGCCACTTGTGGGTTGGTGAGGCTATTTAATACATAGTTGGGGTGGATGGACATTGACCGAGGAGTATCCACCCTTTAACAGCTATTCTTCTTTTGTGCTGCTAGGATTCCACTTACCCCTCACCAGAGAGGAGTAAGTGGAACCCTATCAGCACAAAAAAACAATATATTTCTACATATATAAAAAGTCCCATGTGAAAACCTAATAATAGTAAGAAAAAAAATATAATCATTTTTATCTGCATGGTTAAAATTGTATCTTGTGTGAAACTTTTCACAATGCACACATA